TGTTAGAAATTATACGGAATGTATTCACGAAGTTGTACATAATGACTATGTGGAAGCTTTGAAGCGACATACGAATGTGAATCAAATTACAATTCTCTAGATCTTCATTGAGACGTACACGCTTATTCGGCATTGCAGTATCTGTAAAGGTGCCCACATGCCTTGAGGAAATGGTGTGATCATGAACTCAGATCATGTTTTCATGACAATTCGCCTATGGGGACTATAATTTGACGCCGTATTTCGAAGCGCTACATGTATTTGATTGAAGCGCTACATGTATTTGATTGAAGCGCTACATGTATTTGATTGAATTGTGTTTGTCGGGATCGCATCTATGTGTGCTTTTATGCCGGATCAACCTCTGTCTGAGTGCAGTCACATTAATATTTAGCGTTGTGTGTGTCCATAGGCGTCATCCTGGAACTCGGGTGACGCCTATACTAACAGTTTGTGTTGATCACGATAGCGTTGAACCTGGTGACCACTCCGATAGTCCTTCTGTAGTTATATGTGCGAAGACATTCCATGTTGTTGCACTGACAGTCAACGAACCTACTTTTCGTCCATGTTTCTGCAGTGGATTCAGCACATACGAAGCCTACTGGCCTAATATCGTGGGGTGCTTCCTCATGGGTATAGTAACACACCACAAAAAGTTCCTGATCGAAAGACATGGGTTAGCAAACTTTCACTTGGGACTTGGTACGGCTCTGTGTGGCTGTTTGACTACCTTCTCGTCTTGGAATGAGGTATGTCATGTGTATGTTAGTTTTGTCTGGGTTTAAATGTTTTGTATAGATTCACACATGTTTAGATTCCCGTGCTGTAGTCTCGCTCGTCGTGTGTCGTGGAGTGAATTGCTGTATGTGTACCTGTACGTACATCAACTTACGCAAGAGTATCGAAGCCGGCCTTGTGAATTACGCCTTTGCGTGATTTATGCACAACGATAAAGTTACATAAGGCGCATGTGTATATCAGCTCGTATAAGAAGCGCTAGATTGGAGTTTGTAACACAAATATACAAAGTTGTCTTATGTCGGCACCGTTGTCCGTACCACGACTGACCGCGCGTCCTACTAGTAAGTTTCACATGCTGAAATGGCTGGTAAGTATCCAGGCCTGGTCATCTGGGGTTACGCTTAGGGTACTATGGCGAATTATGCAAGCCAATTTCGTGATTTGCAAGTTGCAAACAGTCATGTAGACGTTATGCATTACTCTTACACTAATGTCACTATCGACCATCGTTCAGTGGATATATTTGAGTAGATAAACGAATCTCCCAAATTTCGTAAATGGTTGTATTGAAGGTAGTTTAAATATATCACTGAAGACAGGAACAAGAAAAGTGTGGCTAGTATGAATTGTACGTGTGTCTTCTACAAGGGATAGTGTACTATCAAATGTACACACGTTGGTACCAGACACCTGCACTCACTGTTCCAAATACGACCCTTTCTTCCATTGGCAACAGGAAGCAGCCTTAGTACTCGTTTCATTCGACAGCAATCCAAAATACAGCACAGACAACGCAAGCCAAGTATTCACGTGGATGAATATTATCATCACGGGATATACGACATCCTTCATGTCCCTCCTGGCAGGGTTTCACCTGGCCTCCCTATCGCCCTGGGGCAACGCTCCCTCAGGTCGCATCGCCAACTCAGTGGGGAAGCGCTACGGTTGTTTGTCGAGTTGCGGAAAGTGCTTTAAAAACAATGAGCTGGTCATTGCTGCAGTGTGTTGTATCTTAGCAACGGGCCTGGTGGTGGGACTTCCGGTGGGCTTTGGCCTTTACCAACTCACGTTTGAAGCCGTGCTGGGATTCTTTGGAGCCGTTCTGCGGTACATATTGGGCAAGGGACTGAACAAACCTCAATTCCCATTCGGCACCTACGCAGCGAATATCCTGGCTGTGCTTGTACTGTGCGGGTTTTATATTTGGCAGGTTGAGGAGAATAACTTCCCCGGTAAACCCGTGCTCAACGACATCATTACTGGGGTCACCAGTGGATTTTGCGGTAGTCTGAGTACGGTTAGCACCTTCATGAATGAAAATTACGGATTGAAAAGAAGCCACGCATGGAGGTATTCATGTGCGTCCATCATCACTGCCCAAATATTGGCTGGACTCATTCTAGGAGGATACAAATGGGCGCAGTAAGATGCTTGTGGATACCGACATCAGGCTATGACGTCTTTGCACGAATCTTAACTTGTTTTCAGTTGAATAAATAAATAAATAAATGGATCATCAGCTCGACTTTACACAATTTG